CTGGCATATCAATACTTCGCACACAGTAGGAATATTTACAGGATTGTACTGTGAGAATATCAGCATTCAAAGTTAAGAAATTATTATCACATATGGGTAATTTAGGGACATCGGTACATTTGGTAGGACGGTGATGCCAAAATCATGGATCTCTACGCATTTCACCGTTCGTAATATAATTATACTTCAGCGATTGCTACTAGTCTCAGACAGCAATGTTTTTCGTATAATACAAACGGAAATCCAGGGCCTCGGAGTTCAAACCCCTCAGATGTCCGTGTCTCAGGAACACTTATAATTCGTGCATAGGCCTACTTCCTAAATGATAGTACTGCGCACATATGAGTATACTCACAACTTACTGCTCCAGATTATTCTTACTACCTACGGAGGTATTCTATTCAGAAAACAATGCACAACAAATATTACCACAGCTCAACCATTAGTACATTCATATAACAGCACTACGAAAACTTCTGTAATCATCACCATTCAGAATCCATACACATCCGTAATGTACACGCGTGAATCCTGCTCCAATATTCATACACTCGACGGAATAGTGCTTTCCAAATAATGATCCTCCTAGAATATGGATATTTCAGACACAGGACTACGGTTTACATCATAGTACTCCTAACACTATAGTACGATCAAAATAATGGTGTGGCTAACAATTCTTAGGGGTTGTACAATCTGCTACTTTATATTATCAGGCCATTAAACTTAAATCCAGACGCTTTACATAATGGCACCTCAGGGGCAGCCAGGCTCATCTAGGCACAGCACTTGGTACATAATTGTAATGCTGTTCAGAGGTTGAAACACTGGACAGGTCCATGTGGTTCACAGCATAGTATCCCTCATATAAGACTATTACGGGAATTGCTATACCCTCCATCCTTTAACTCTTAGCAAAAGATAAAAGGCTATTTTATATATGTTATGCCGCTGAATATTTTAATTAACCATACTGTTGTTATTCCGTCATTCTCTGAATAGTAGTATACGACGCATTTGGACACTCCGAAGATATGAGTACGGCATATATTGATGTACTTTTCACATAATGATACCTCCACTGATGGATACTTCCCATTCAACTGTTCACTTCAAATGAAGGTATTATCCAAACAATCGTACTGTTAACATGACGGTATCAATTGTATACGCGTACTTATCAAAGAATAGTACCAAACATATAGTCCTAATAAGGAAGGCACATAATTGCAGATAGAATGGTATCCATAGCACAATAACACCCCTAGAAGATCAATACTCAGGACAAGAAACTCCTCTTAACATCATCATACTCCCGGAGTAGCAATACTCTTTAAGTAATAGTATTACAGATAGGCCATAGGAGCTTCGCAATCCCGCACGTTTTCTAATGAAGTCATTAGACTTAAATCAAGACCCTTGACATAATGATAACCCAAGGATAGGCTTATTCATCGAGGTACACCACCCCTCACATAACAGTAGTTTCCTTCAATTAGCCCTGCACTCAACACATTAACACACTGGGAGCAAAAGTATCCTTTACATAAGAATATTATGCCAGATTGTGCACTCTTCATACAATAGCTCTCCGCACATGTTAGAAGGTTATGCCACATATATCCTATCACCCAAATACATCAATTAATAGTGCTGTTTCGACTTTTCCACCATCCAGATAGCCGTGTACCAAGCACATCCGCTATCTCCACATATCAGTACTATAGATGCGTGTGTACCCTCTTCACATTGCTATTGCGAATCATGAATAATCAGCAGAAGACTCCGCTATTTAAATAGAAGTATTATCCACACAACAATACTTTGAACATAACCGTATTGTTCGTATACACATACTTTTCCATAAAATCCTACTCTGAATATAATGATATTTATTATGCCATAACTCACAACACATAATGGTACACCTTAGTATGATTGCACTGGAGGTCATGCAGATAACTGAGCTACATGGGCGTTCTTATAAGAACACCATGGGAAACTCGGGATTCTGGACTATTGAGAATCCAGACACCTTAGTACGGTTTAATTAAGAATTCTAGAATATCCATACACTTCAAATAACAGGACCACACATGCATCCTGGCGCGGTAAAAAGCTTATAAACACACACCAGTATTCTGCAAACAAGAGTACCCCTGGCAGCCTTCTGTTTTTCAAGTAACAAAACCATAAGCATGTCAGTACTTTGCACATATGAGGAGTACGGACACCTCAATAGGCTTCCTACAATAACACTCCAGGAAATTCCTCACCGTTGACCCAACTGCGCTTCTCAAATAACAGTATTACCCACATAAGACTATTTTTCACATAATAGTATTCCATGCACATCATGACTTTTAAAGGAATAATACACCAGGGAGAAAGGTGCCCCTTCAAACATGCGTATATTATTCCTGTTTAGTAATGCTACCACATCAGTATGGTCATTCTATTTATACTTCACATACGTGGCCATCCTTATAAATAACCAAAGGAAGGAAATGACCTCATAATGGCTTCACATAGAGAAAAGGAAAATACGTCCATCAGAATGTTAAGGAACAAAAATCTCTAATAAAAAAAAATGACATACAATACAACATATCCGGAAGACTGAAACCAGGGGGGCCTCTTCACAATGATGTAACGTGAAGAAACATTTTGACGCTAATCGATGCAAAAGAAGATCTTCAAAAAGACGAAACCGAGAAACGTCGGGGAGATACCAGGAGAAAAAAGAATCTTCATAAAAAAAATAAAAACCGCAACAGCATCTTAACCATGCCGCGGAAAACGAGCATCTTCATAAAGGAAATCACACACGAAAGGAAATCTTCAAAATGCCGGCAAAAAAGTACATCATCGTAGAGAACATGACACCCAAAGAAACAGCTTCACGATGCCGCGGGAGGAAGAAGCATCCATATAGAAGAAATGACACAAAACAATATATTCAAACTGCTACCAGAAAATAGGATCATAACGAATGCCGCGGAACGGAAATATCTTCATAAGAAGAATGCGTCGCGAGGAAATTCCATCGCAATAACATGATAAAAAGAGAAGGCATTTTTATAAAAGAGTGGAACAGAAGGATATCATCCATATAACGCGGTAAGAAGAATCTTGGTAAAAATGCTACACCAGCAAAAATTCTCATAATGAAATGGCCTGGGAAACTTCATCACAACACCCTAGGACAGGACTATCGTCAGAGAGGAAATGCAGCACACACAAGAATCTTAATAGTGACACGACAAAGAGAACAGTCTCTATAAAAATGGCGAACGAAAGGATATATTAAAAGTACAACGCGGTAAAATAAATCATAGGAAGAAAGATGCCCCAGAAGGAAGATACCTGACAATGACACAACATAAAAAAAGAGAACTTAATAATAATTCAACAGGAAATATCATCCTGAGAAAAATGACA